TTTTACTTGATTTGTGATTAATTTTCCTTTCCCCCCCCTCGGGGGGGGGTTGGAAAAAAAGGGGGGGGGGGGCGCCTTTTTTTTTTTCTCCACCCCTTTTCCAACTCCCCCCCCCCCCCCCCCCCCCCCCCCCCCGCCAATCCCCTATACTTTCTGACCAGTCCCTAACTACTGTATAACAGCCTTCTGGCTACTTCAGTTGGTGAGCGCCAATCTGCCTAGCGGAATGGTGCAGGTTCGAGCCTTGAGTGATCCACCAGAACAGATGATCGCGTCATTGTGCAGTGACGTTAATCCTTTGGTCTTGTCTTCCAACGAGTGAAAAAAATGAAAAATGCACTTTATTTGAGCGTCAATGTATTTAGCACGAAAGTACTAATTGAGGAAACTATTTTTACGTCTCCAATTAGAAACGGGACCGCCATTTTACTTGGTCATCCGAGCCACGCGAAGGTCTAGGCGCTTGCAGTGCAAAGGGAGGTTTTTCACTGAGTATTAGCTAGTATTATCCGGCCCCGAGAATCGAACCCACGACCTTCCGCTCAGCAGTAACGTGTTCTACCGACTGAGTTAATCCTGCCGCGGTTAAAGCTAACTATACTTTCAGCTGGATATTGTTAGATATTGATTTACAAACTTTTTGAAAAACTACAATCGAAAAAGTTGTAAGTGTTTGAAAATTGAAACTTGTATTATCGTTACTCCCTGTTATTTGCCAGCAAGATTTTACACGGGCGCATAGCATTTTTACCGGAGAAGAAGGTGAGCTTGATATTTTGAGAAAAATAACTGGCGAATGTTCATAGAACGAAAAAGATAGAAGACATATAAGTGTAAGACACACATAAAAGTAAGAGTTTTATAGAATAAGTAAAGGTAATAATAATAATCAGCTTTATTTAACGAGGGTAACACGGGACAGTACTTCAACTGAATAACTAGTGGCGCTCAAACTAAAACTATAAAACAAAAATTAAATAACCAAAAATACATATCGTTAAAAAGAAGAACTCTAAACAAATATATGAATAAGACTAAAAAGAGTAAAAACTATATTACAATTATAAAATATCCTTACAATGAATATCTAGAAACTATAATTACAATACGAATACAGCTAGGATGGATAAAGAGAGAGGAACGTTGTGAAATGCCGGATTATCATAAAACTAAGAAATAAAATTAACTTTGACTTAAGCTAAAATGATCAACGTCATTGTATATCGTTAAAAAATGACTATAAATAGCCTTTCTAAATGAGGTTACACATGTTCCTATCTTAAGGTTAATGGGCAGAGAGTTCCAGAGCCTGGTCGCGGACACGCTAAAAGTTCTCCCTCCCTCAGTTTCACGATTATATCTGGGGCAGACGAGGTTTAAGGCACTGTACCGCCCACTGCGTGTGTGTAAATCTGCATTGCATTTAAGAAGGTCATACATGTAGCTGGGGCAGTTTCCTTGTAGGCGCTTAAGGACCAGCGAACACTTATTGACTTTAGCTTTAGCTGGTGGACAATTCTGGCGAAGAGTGATCTTGCTCGGAGGCTAATTAAGAGGGGTAGGAAGAACACGTTATCTCCTTTCTGCCGTTCTCCATTTCACGCCACTCCTCACTATCTGAATGTCTGGAACAGGCTAAGTGAGGAAGAGGAGCCGGGGAGCCTCCCCATTGGGGTGGGGGGCGGGGGTGGGGTACTTCCTTATAATCTGTATTCACATCCTAACGGGGATGTGCCGCTGGATCGGGTCTCATATTCACGACTGGACCGACTATAATGGGGTCACATTTTCAATAGAGTTTAATGCTAGCACACATTTTCGAATTTTTCGGGGTAAGACAGTTCTTCATATTTACGGTTAGCAAACGTACCAGAATGTTTGTACTGTAGATGAAAAGTGTTCTTCATTAAATCTAAACTGGAGTCAATTCGTAAAAATAAAAAGAGACTAAATTGGGATAGCGCAAATTACATATTTGCCCAAAAGTGACTAAGATGTGGTCTATAACTGGCCAATTTTAAAACTGGCCACAGAATAGGGGCTCTGAGAGGCCAGCGGCACATAACCAGCAAAAATTAACCCAAGTACCCTCCCCCGCCGGGGGAGCCTCGTGGTTGGATACGTTTGACGTTTGAGCGGAGCCTGGAACGAATATTCCCAGGCTCTCCCTTAGCTCTCCCAGGTCAAGATGGCGGACGGAATTAATTTTTTGGGTTAATACATACATCAGATGGCAACTAAAATCAAGCAATTTAACAGCAAGAAAGAGATGACGTGTCTTTTAACTTGAAGTCAAAGAGGAGGTCACGAGAATAGCACAAGGTAGGAAAATCGATTGAGCAAGGATTAAATCAGCAACACTACTCAGAAATGACTTTAATAACTTTTTTAACGACGTTGGAAAAAAGTGTTAAGTTCAGAACTGAAAAATTTACCGCTAGAAATGCTCCTTTAAAATTTTGATTTCGAGTAAAGTAGCCCCAATAAACAGCATAACAGGTGACGGTTTTGAGAATCCAAATGGTTGCCATTCTCTAAGCGACCATATTATAAACATCATGAAGATATTTTCTCAAAGAACAATCAGCGAACAAACATATAATATTGTGATGATGCCTAAATTTACAGCACTATTAAATCAACTAATGAGGTGGCCATAGTTCTATCAGACATAATAGCACTACGTCGTAATGAGAAAAGCGTTCAATTTGGTCACCCACCACCTCTCTTAAGGCTTGGAGCTGTCTAAAAACCTCAACTGAAGTCAAGATATAAATAACACTAAACTTCTACAGCAAAACCTGAGCAGTTACCTTAAGCTCGGAGTAACCACTTGAACTGTTTGATATTCGAACTTTATCAAACCCAATCAAACTTAATCAAATGACTGAGTTTGATTAAGTTTGGTCATTGAACACAATCTTACCAAAAATAATTTGTGTGAGATTAGGTTTGAGTGTGTGAGACTTAAAAGAATACTATTTTCTCTATAACCTTGAAGGACTAAAAGGAGTTGCTCAGTAAATTGTTAACATTGTGACTTCACTAATCAATTCAAAAAAGCTTAACTACAACATTTTAGTGATAAATAACAAGAAATCTTGAACTGTTTTGAGACTCTTTTTCAGAAGTCACTACGAAAAGGAATTATTCCTTTTTTTCCTTCTTAAATTAAACAGATTTCAGAGAAGCCCTACAATGATGCACAAAGCACTACTATTTTCCAATGACCTAGACCATGCACTGTTTTGTGGCTTTGGAATTCTTGTTTCTGTTTATGCTCTTTATGTGGAGATCAGAAAACACAAAGATAGCAGATACAGGGCAGCATGTGATTTTGGTGAAAATATGAGTTGCTCTCGTGTGCTTACTTCAAGGTAAGTAAACTCAAAGTACTTTACGATCATTTTGAGCGCTTTCTTGATGTATTATGCTCAGACATTGTGGCTCTTGTATTACAGTCTTTGTTGGTAAGTGCAAAAATATACTGTTTCAGTCCTAACTCAGACAACACTAGCATAGCTTAGATAACGATGATAATGGTATGGGCCTAGTTGTTTGAAAGGTTGATAATGCTATCCACTGGGTGAATCTCTATCGCTGGGATAAGGCAGTTGGTTTCCCTACTACTTATCCACTAATAATAGCGATTTATCTGTTGGATAGTGTTATCCGATGTTGGAACAACAGGGACCTGGACAATATTTACTCTTAATTATATTTTTGATTAAGGCATGAGCAAGGCTTGGCAGAGGGTTGTTGGCTACTCCAAAGAAAAATCTAACAATAGTTTTACTAGCAAAAGGAGTTTTTTCAAAAGTAATGTTGAACTCTTACCCACTGTCATTCTTATCTACCTGAGCAAATGATTGATAAAAGAAATATCTTGCTTTAACTCAATAGTTTGTTATAATTACTTTTAAATCCTATGTGTTTTTCTTGTTTTGCTTTGTAGCTACAGTAAAGGTTTTGGAGTGGTTGAGGTCTTGCTTGGCAAGGAGCACTTTCTAAACATGCCAAACTGTATTGTGGGTATAATCTTCTACGCCATGCAGTTAATTCTTGGTGAGTAACAAGAGTTTTCTGGTTTTCTCCTCAAAATATTCATGGCTTTCATAGTCTAGACATTTGCGGTCTTTTAGAATGATGTAAATGAGTTGAGCCACACCTAAATTGATCATTAAAGATGAAAATTTTCATAAATTTCCTATCCCCTTGCGTACTGGATCAGTCTCTCCTGGCAGGTCAACACTAAGTCTTATTATATTGCCACAATAGTACCTGCTGTGATTCGCTGCTAAGCTAAATGGGCATAATTTTCTTGTAATGACCGGGCATTATGAGCTAGGTGTCCAAGGCATATACAATGTTTGTTTAATTTGATAATGGACATCCTTATGGTCAATTGACAGCTGTCAAAAAGGGTATCACTGACCTATGTCACATGACTATATCACAGGCTCAAGTTCGCAACTCATTGAGGTGAAATGTTTTTTAAAGTTATCCGCTGACCAGTTATTGATTTTAATTAATCGCAGTCTCAGGTCCATTATGAAAAGGCTATACAATAAAAAACTTATTAACCTTGTCCGTGGACTGCAAGCAGTCTATTATTTTTCTTTTGAGTCAGAGTAGATCAAGATCACAATAGATCGCCCCAATCTCTCCTCCTTTTACCATTAATTCGCGTAATTTCATTTTTTGGCTTTCCACATGTGGCTCTGAGGAAAGAAGGTCAATCACTTGTGGTCTACCTCGTCCGTTCAGCCATTACGGGGAAATCTCAGACCTTGGCCTGTAATGACCCCACTCTCTGTAAATAAGTTGTATATATTCCAGAATTTTCCGTCCTGGTTAAGTAATAACAGGGCGTAACAAAAATACTCTCTGTGAAACCACCCGCCAGGCCAGTAAACTTCAGCAGCAGCTAACCCAAAGGGTAAGCCATTGTTTTTTTTTTATTTTTATCTTACCCTGAACAGTCATAATAAATTATCTAAAGACTTTTTTTGGTTAATTTTCAGGTATGACATCCTTTGCTTGGGTTCCTGCTGTACTCGTTCTGACATCTATAATATCATGCATTGGATCAGCTTATCTCGCATTCATTCTCTTTTTTGTGTTGAAAAACCTCTGTTTGGTCTGCATCGCAACCTACATAGTAAATGGTGTCTTGATGTACCTCAACTATCAGATATT